GCCTCTTTCAAAATTGTGAATTTTATGGCCTCTAGTTTAAAACATGAATTAATTTCAATTGTTGTAAAGTTGTCGCATGATACTCAGGTGACCTATAAGGCATATAGGGCTCTTGTTTAATTTGTCATGACCTATACTTTGATTTTAGAACATTAAATCATAGGGTTTCCAGGCATGAATTTTTAACTATTTGTACAATGGATACCTTAAGTTTTTAATTCAAGTTGTTAAGTTATCTATAGATAACTTTACAACTTGAATTAAAAACTTCATACATACTAGTTATAGGTTTTTAAAAGATAAAACAAGTCTTCACCGGCATTATTAAGGCTCGAAAAAAAAATCGATATACATATGGATTCAAATACACCTTGACACAAGCCTTTAGCAAAGGTATTCCATGTGGGGAAGAGAGCTCCAGAAATTTCATTCCTGAACTGAATTTTGAAACTGAAAAAAAAAATCAGTTCAGTTCAATTCAGTTCAGGTATATGTTAATTACCAGCCAGTATGGGTTATATATGTATCAAATTAGCATGGATTTGAAAATAACAAAACTATATGCCAATCGGAGATTAAATTAAACAATTTTACTATGAAAGTACTATAAGTCAAAGTAGAGAGATCACTGAAGAAAAAGCGAACGAACCCACATTAATATCAAATAAACTTAACAAATTTTCTTTGATTGAATTTCGGTTACAAGAAAATATGCATTTGGTCCACGTACATGTATTCTCCCTCCTGTGTCTTAAAACCTTCAGGCGACAATTCCAAACAAACATTTTTTAAAGGATTGTAGTCTTTTTTTAAAGGACAACAACTTGTTAATATCTAAAGGACGCTCTAAACTCTGCACACCAAAGAGCTCTATTTTTGGGGTAGTTTTTTGCAATAAGAGTGATCTGCCCTTAGATGTAAGATAAAGGAAATTGTTATTTACCGTTAATTACATACTTGATGAGAGATTGAAATATTTTAGCATTATATGAGACCAACAGTAAGACATTTAATCGATTATTTACATTAATTTTCACAATGTAAGCAAACAAAAGTGTTTTCTGCTCACAAATAGTTCATTGTCTTTGAACATTTTCCCTGCGCAATAAGGCTCGTACCTTATGTTCTAAATGAATGAAAAGTCTCAAATTGCATATCTTTATATGATATATTTTTCTCTAAAATAAAGAAAACAGTTTCTGTTATGCTCTGTTCACACGACAAGTTTAATTCGCATAGAATTAATGCGAAGTAAACTAATGCGAATCAAAATAATGCAATTAATGCCCTATTCAAACGACGGGTTATAATTTGCAGTTATTTAATGCGATGTAAACTAATGCAAATCAAATTAATGCGAATTAAATTGCGTTCACTCGACAGCTAATGCAAATTAAATTTTTTCTTTTACAGTCAGGCTTCAGAAATTCTAATAATATTATGACGTCAGTTGTAAATCATATCATGTATGCAACCCATCCTTTGATACACCATGTAGTGGCTACACGTATCCATTGATTTTAGTGATTAAAATACTTTCCCTCAATTTTTGAACCAAAGATAGCACAAATACTTATATATAACCACCAACACCTGTCCTGTGACTTAATTCTGGTCTTACGCATGCCTCAAAATTTAATTCGAATTAGCTTCGCTTAGCTAATGCGAAGTAATTAAATGCACAGTAAATTAATTCGAATAACTAATTCACATTAAATTCTGCGTGTGAACGCTAAGCAAATCTTATTCGAAGTAACTTTACGTTTAATTCGAATTAAAGTCTCCTTGTGAACAGGGCATAAATTGCGTTCACTCGACAGCTAATGCGAAGTAAACTAATGGGAATTAAAATTCTACTTCTACGGCCAGGTGTCAGTAAGGTTATTATGATGTCATTTGCCAATCACGTCACCTTATGCAGGAGCAGATGCATTTGACATAATGTCACAATGTATAGTGTCTGTACACATATTTTAATGATTAAAACAATTTTCCTTAGTTTTTTCACTCAAAAATCACAAACATACTTCACGCTGACCACGGACATGTGGCATTTTACCTAATTTTGCCCTTACGCATGCCTCAAAATTTAATTCGAATTACATGTAGCTTCGCTTAGAGTTCACAGGTAGCTAATGCGAAACTTCCTCGACACTTTTGTAGAAGAAAAAACCGGAAATCACAATGCGTAGGCCTTTCAACTAATTTTTCAAGTTGCACATATGGTAAAAAAACATTGTATAGATAGATTAATAGGTACATGAAATTACCCAAAAAGACAATAACTTATGCATAGTTTTAATTACATCATTAAAAAGTTTAATCATTTATAATGGACTTTTCCGATGTTGTGTTTAAGGACAGGTAACTCAGGTGTGAAAAATGACCAACTTAGTGCCGATTTATGAGTTATCGTTTATAGGAATGACATATAGGCTTCTTCAGCATTGGCATTGTTATATACACAAAAGGGTTCCTCACATTGTTTTGTACACAAAAAGTTTTGACCAAAAGAAATGCCTTCACTCTACCTGAAATAACAGGGTGAAATGAATGGGGAACAGACTATATTCAATAGTTTGAATTCTCTTTGACGATTATTATGAAAAAGAAAATTTAATGTAATATTTTTTGTGTTCGCGCTTTTTCGCTTCCTGTGTAAATACATGTATATTTATTTTTACAAGTAAATGCAACAATTGATCATCTTATTTATGTTAGTAATTAAGCACGAAGAGGAACGACCGAGTATAAAAATTTAAATAGGTTAGAACTGAGAAGGAGGGTAGATTTCACTTTTAATTTTAATTAAAAATCTTCATTATATGCAGTGAACTTATGTCCGCAACTATACAGTAAATAAGTATAACATTGATACTAAAGGGTTTTAAAGCCACTGGATTCTACATAATGGTTATAAGCCGAAAACTGTCCATTATGTCAGATATTAGACGACCCGAGGCGCGTTAGCGCCGTGGAGAGTCCAATATCTGACATAATGGTCAGTTTGAGGCTGATTACTTACTTAAAACATTTCACCACTGTCGAACACGTCCATTATTAACTTATTGGACAGTCATAGGTAAGATCTCGTTCTGCTTGGATGACTACCTGGCACTGTTCATCAAGTTAGGCCACAGAAAACGAGTTTTGTTTTTTTTCTGCCTTTATTAATAGTTGGAATCATCGAGAGGTGTTTGAATATGAACATTAACTTTGTTTAGTCTTATTTTTCCGCATTGCGACATTTTTTATATAAACTACGCATGCGTAAAAGTCAGTTCTACTAAATTCTTTACAATTTATTTATTTTACAACACAACGACCTCGGAAGAACACGTACATTTTAATTTTGAAAAAAAGACCCTCAGAATCGGGTGTTTTGACGATGCCATTCATCGATTACACCAAGATGCCTCAGTTCAGGTTTTTACTTTGTAATCCGGATATATATTTTTATATTTTGGAATTTGCAAGAAACAGTTCCCGTTGAAAGGTAATTTTTGTAAAGCAATAGGATTTTAAGGATTTTACTCAAATAACTGTTTAAGCATTTTCTTTGAAACTGGGAGATTATTCCTGATATATTTTTTAAAAATGCAATTCTCTTTTGTGAGCAGGTTTCGAACTCGGAAGGATTTTTACTCCAGCCACTCCCTAAACGACTGATATTCGCTTAAACGACGCAAGACAAGGTGGACAAATGATCATTAATCACCGAACGAAATTACAGATTCGGTTGGAATTTCGTGAGCTAAATTTTGTGCTAAATGCGCAAAAATGGATATTTCAATAAACAAAAAGCCTAGGTTGTGTGTAAGAAAACACATGCTTCTCATTCATCTTTTGTGTCTGTTGGATTCTTTATATGTTCCATGGATCAACCATTGTGAAATGAATCTATTATATAGCAATGAACGGTGAATTTAGGAAATTTATGATTAGAGCCACGGATGCGTTTTCAATAATGTATCTGAGACATTCAATTCACTGGATTATTTACATGCCATTTTTAATAGGATTGATTGTTTGTGAAATATTAACATTTAACGCTACTATTTTCCTACATTGTTCATATTAAGTTGTTTAGTTTGTCATTGCCTTTTAAGTGGTGTTTATTTGTTTGCCTCGCCCTTTGTTCTCATTTTAACGTTACCTGTACCTGTCCAATAAGTTGAATCTTATTGGACTCCTACAGGTAACTTATTGGACGGGGTGCAGGACAATAACAAATTTATTGAACCAGGTTTAACAAAAGATGACGTCACAAAAATGTTTTAATGAGAGCGAAGAAACACTTGGGAAATGCTAAAAACTGCCTTGCGTGTAAACAGTTAGATATCCCGAGCTTGCTCTAAACAAGTTTCAGCAGTGAGTTATCGTTCATACCACCGACCTCTAGCGGTAATTGAAAGGCCAACAATGCGCATTAGTAAAATTCAAAACTTTAAGTGAGAATTTTTTAGCGAAGAGGAACGTGACGCTGATTAAGATACTTTGACGTTATTTTCCGTCCCCTGTAAGGCTATACAATACATAACAAAAATAAAATTTGTTTATTAATGAATAAATCTATTTGGAATTTGCTAAACATATTGATGAAAATAGAGAAACGTGAAAATTATAGAACGTGGTGATGATTATTTTTCAATCTATACATCCTTTCAATCTATACATCCTACATTCATGGAGAGAACGATCATAGGAATTTATGCCTGTTGTTCAATCCATTTCATTATTGAATAAATATATTTTAAACTATCCTGTCTACAATTTTACCGATCAACCCTCGTACATCGAAAAATATACATCTATTTAAACAAAAGAACAAACGAAGGTTTGTTTATTTGTTGAATAAAGCTGATAGGGGCATCACATGGAAGTCGAGGATGTTGTTTGGAATATCTGTAATTGCTTTCCTTAAAAATTAAATCATTTGAAACAGAGAGAGAGAGTAGCTCTTTAGGCATTTGATAAGAAAATAACATTTATTTCTGTAGGTTCTCTAGGAGTAATAGATGAAGGCTTATCTGTAGTAAAGGATGGCCGTTTCTGTTATGCACTTACAGACGTAGCCTTTGGAAATAACAGGACTTTCCGGTGTTCTGATGATTTATTGAATGTCATATCAATAGAATTTGAAAAGGAAAGAAAAAAAATAATGTATCTGCAAGAAAACAACAATACTTTTGAAATTGGTGTGATGGAGTTGGGTCTTTGGACAAGGGAAATTTTATATACAAGTCAAACAGCAATCAAAGGTGAGAGAAAAAATATACAGTGGACCGCTAGATATCCGGACGCCAGATATCTGGATGCTTTAGTATCTGGACGATTTTTCATTGAAACAGAATTTTTTAAAGTTATGTTGTTTTGTTAAACTGGTAATTTAGGTATCCGGACGCTTCACATATCCGGAAAATTAACTAGGAACAAAAGCATACGGATAAATAAGTATCCACTGTAGATTGATAAATGATGTTACATTTATATAACGATGAATTATTCGATTATGAATACCGGTATTTTTTTAATAATGGTCAGTCTTTCCTTAACTTGTTTTAGGGTTTTCATGCGTCGTGAATGAAAATATGGAAGGAATTTACTTTGCCTCAAACGATTCCATCATGCGGTATAACTTCATAGAAACAGATGTCATACACAAGGAGAAAAACGTAATTTTGTCGATTGCCGTTGCGTCTGGGTAAGTGTTTTAAAATTGTTAAACTTAAATGGAAACCTATCACTCATTTCATATTAACACCTGATGTACATAGTACAACATGTGACTTTTGCGTGATAATTTTTGTGACTTAGCGTAGCAATACCAGTATTGTTTATGTGTTGTTGTTTTTTATCTTTCATACCTGAAGAATATAACTTCTGAAAAAAAAATTAAAACACTAACAAAATATTCTAAATAAACAAGTAATATTCTTTTATGAATTCATGGGATGCAGAGGAATTATATAGGTGTGTTACATTTATCATGTTAATTTGTTGGCTTTAATATTGTTATTTTTTTCTTAAAGAAAAAACAAACAGATATATTTATTAAATGTACTGCTTACATTTTTTATATTGCAATTTGTCAAACTTTGACCAGGTAATACTTGGTTATATTTCAATCAAGAATTAATAATCATTCACTATCTGCCTTAAGTTGTATAACTTATATCTATGAAAACATGCTCCGAGTTTCCTTGCCATGATTTGAATCCCAAGAATGCATTAGCGGTTTCCATTTTTTAAGGGGACAGAGGCCCACGGACTTTAATGACCACGTCACCTGAGCTTCATGTAACACCTTTCCAACAATTGAACTCGGTTCGTGTTTTAAACAAGAGGCCATGAAATTTACAATTTTGAAATAACAACATTGCTTATCATAACTATACACTTAGCTTGCTTACTTTAGTTACTTAATACCCAGAGGTATATCAGAGTAACAAAGAGGAAATGCATTCTTTTTATAACCAGTTGAGCACCACTGACCCCTGACCCCGGTGTCATGAAATTCACAATTTTGGAAGAGGCAGTCTTATTTCACATAATCTTTGTATGTGTTTGTTTATTTTATGCCTAGGAGTAGAAATAAAGATTTTCGAAGAAATAATGCATTTTCACTATATAATCTTGATACATGTATCCCTGTACTTGAACCCATGATCCAGGGGTCATCAATTTCACAATATTCGGTAGACAATTCAATGCTGCTTACGCCAATAATTTGTTTTGGTAATATCTAGGAGTAAAGAAGAATATCTTTAAAAATTTCATAAGTGCTTTATGTAAGATTTAGTTGGAGTTGATTAAACGGTTGCAGAGATGAAACTGAAATTTTCAAATTTTAACACACGACGCACCACGACGGATGGAAAGGGATGGCAATAGGTCAGGCGACATATAAACTTTGATTTAGCAATGCTTTGTAATCTTAATACACATAAAGTCGCGCCTCTTAGGCATAATAAAGTCCTCATTCATTTAACAATTATCGATTATAGCAATGAAATATCTAAATGAATATCGTCCCGGGTTCGATTCCCACTGTGGGACTTGGAGACCCACCGGTGAGACCATATTAACCGAGGTCCCGTTATGCAGAAGGTGCTGACACGAAAAAGGTCCCTCTTTGCTCAATGGCCCTAAGTTCTGAGTATAGGACAAAATCTGCAGCTCTACGCCGGCAAAAGGTAGCGTCTCCACATTAATGAAATATTTCAGAGAGAGATGTTTGACAATATCCAATCAATCTAACTGAATACCTTCCAAGCTGTTCATACATATGTACAGTTGTATGTATTATAAAGGTAAAGAAATGCCCCTCAGAATGTATTTAAATAATAAGAAAATACAAAGATCTGATGCATTTTTACACTGATTTATATCATTTTTCCACCTCAGGAGAATCGCATGGGTCACAGCAGAAAACTACTTTATTAAAATCTCTGACTTAGATGGTAGCAGAAAACGAACCTTAGTGAAAGCCCTGGGAATAAGAAACATTTTCTTCAGTCCGCATATGAAAAGGTATGTTTCACATTACGTGATAGTTTATAGGTCTTGTTCAATTTGCTTAACAAACATAGAGTATTTTTTTTCTCTTTCCATGGTTCTGAGTAAGCATACAACTCTCAAATCATTAGCTGTTTGCTCACATTAAGTATAGGCTAAAACATAACACTCAAAAGGTGATATATATTTAAGAAATAAAGCCTATTTTATCTTATCGTTGTGGTGCAGGATAATTTTTAACCTCCTCAGTCTCGAATGCTGTCCACATAATAAAAGGCTTAGCCAAGGTGTAAGCCGGTGCTTTTATATTTTAGACAACATTTTTAGATCGATGAGGACACCCTGCATCATTCATGAAAACAAGGGCTTTATATCTATTCTTCTAATAGCTCGAAGAGCTCTCTGATCATTTCCTCTATAGAGAGCCAAATCAAATCTTCGTTTGCCAGTTTTTGTTGCTTCATGCAACAACCAAGGGTTAATATGATTGTTAACTTGTGTATTGATTGCATAAAATGCCAACAATTTTAGCTTTCGTTAAATTAGAAATATCATTTAAATATTCATAAATTTCTTTGTATCATTTGTCACAGCCAAACTTAATCTCACTCATAAACAAAGCAAAAACTGCTGGATTCATTTTCTTAATCTATATTTCAATTATTTGGCATAATAAATATAATGATAAAAACAAAATGACCTGCAAAAATTATGAAAAATAGAGCAAAGCTCGTTACAATGCAACGAGTAGGTCTTCTGTCCTGTTTGACCGGAAGTAACTTTCACTCTTAAAAAAAATGAATAAATACATTCAAAATGGTTTAAATCCTCCAAATCTATGTCAATTAATGCAAAAATTAGCCATTTTTGCAACTTCCAGTGTGAACGGAAGTGACAACGACGGACAGGAAATTTATTTTTATGCTCCCAGTGACAGATGTTACCCTAAAACTTGTAAAGAATATCAAAAATACGCATTTTCTGGCTACTTCCGGTTTGACCGGAAGTGACGTCACCGGACAAATTTTTTGACGACCCCAATAGATTTAGCTTAACATTTTGAACAACTTTTTTTCTTGAACATATTACGAATGCACGATAGACCAGCCCTTATTTCGAGATATCATTTGAAAGATCATGTAATTCTACACTTTTTTTTTGTTTTATATGTTTAAACAAAATAATTTTAGGTAAAAAGATATTGAAGAAAAGGTGTCAGAAATTTTGAATTTTACGATAGGACTGTTTTATTACCGCAGCGAGCATCGCCGTTTCGTACATCCGGTAGTTATGATAATTATACTTAGTGCACTTCTCCAAAGGTTGCTCTAGCATTACTGAAAATTTCATACTTCTGTGTTTAGTGCTTTTTGAAAAATCTGCCGGACGAAGAGACCCTCTAAAATTCACTAAATCGCTGAAAACTCCGAACCGGAAGTGACATCATCAAAATAAAAAAAATCTAGATTTTTTGATGTTCTATCGGACCTGAAAGTTTTAAGAAAATCGATCGAGTCGTTCTCGAGAAATTGCGCGTACAAATTGGGTAAGAAAAAAAAATAATAATAAAAACTAGAGCAAATCTGGTTGCAAAGCAACGAGTAGGTCTTCCGTCCAGTTTTGACAGGAAGTGACGTCAACAAAAGAAAGGAATTTGCTAAGTCGTCTCCAGTGACTTTATAATTTCAATTTTGCGTCAAATCCTTTACAAATAAGCTATTTTTGGCTACTTGGTTTGACCGGAAGAGATGTCGACGGACAGAAAATGAAGTTTTATGCCTCCAATGATATCTTACTCAAAAACATGTCAAAATCGGCAAAAATGTGTGTTTTCTGACGACTTCCGGTTTGACCGGAAGTGACGTCGCCAGACGTGATTTGACAAAATTGATAGATTGAGCCTGACATTTTAAACAACTTTGCTTATTTGATGTATTACAAAGTTTCAATACTTTTTGAGATATAAAGAAAAAGCTTTCGGCCCCTGTAGACCCCCCTTCATTTTAGGGGCCAGCCCTTTTTTGGAGATTTCATTTGAAAGATCGTGTAATTCAACACTTCTTTTGTTCTACATGTCTTAACAAAATATTTCTAGGTAAATAATTATCATAGAAAAGGTGTTAAAAATTTTGAAATTCTTGATAGGACTATTTTCGGGCCATAGCGAGCGTCGGCGCTTCGTACTTCCGGTAGTTGTGATATACAACAGGCAAAGGTTGCTCCAGGATTCCTGAAAATTTCACACTTCTATCTTCAATGGTTTTTGAGAACATTGCAGGACAATGTGACCCTCTAAAAATGACAAAATCCCAGAAACCTCCGAACCGGAAGTGACGTCATCAAATCAAAATAAAGATGCCTAGATCTTTTGATGTTCTATCAGTCCTGAAAGTTTCAAGAAAACTGATCAAGCCGTTTTCGAGAACTTGCGTGCACAAAATATGTAAGAAAAAAAAATATAAAAACTGTTGAAAAGAAACCTAGGAATAACAGAAAGGTCTTCCGCTGAAGACCGAAGACCTTAACTAGATGAGATCTCGTTGCGAGCAAAGAGCAGGTCTTCCGTTGAATTTCTCGATAAGATGAGATGTGATTTTGACTGAGATATTCATTAAAAGAGAATGACATTAAATTTACTTCAATTTAAAGTTTCTTTTTTATCACGATATTCTGAACATCTTTTGTTTAATATATAGCTTATAAAATACTCCCTCTTTTCAAGACGTAAAGCACAAAAATATAGCATTTTGGCCCCTTGCAACCACTTATTGATCAAAATTTTATAATACTGTGGACGGCTTTAATTTCACGTGTCTAAAATTTCACGGTTTGCTAGAAAATTACCTTTCACGGTGGTTTTAATTTCACGGAGAATTGTTTGTAAATATTCAGGTACTATGACTGTTTCTAGGTAGAAATGACGTGAAATAATAATCACGATGGTTTAAAGTTCGCAAAAAAATCTTAAATCGTGAACATAGTGAAATTAAAAAACACCGTAATGTTATCCACTTATATATAATGTATATATATGAAATATATTTTTGCTTCTCATAATGGATACTTATCAAAAAATATTCATCATGAAGGAGTTGAAGATGATAGACTTTTGACCCCTCTAAGCCCCTAATTTAAGGAGTCAGTTCCTTTTTCTTGATATCAAATGAAAGTTCTTCTGATTTCAAAGACTTTTTCTTCAACGCCTATCCAGAGATTTTTTTTCTTGGTGGAAATATGCTTCATATAAATATTCAGGGGCCACCCCTTCAAGTCTTTAATTGGACCGTTTTACAAAAATTCAAAGTAAGCATATTGTTAAGAATATTATTCTGACCATTTTTTGTTCCGTATTGCTTATCAAAATATTCCCCTTTTAGAGATATAAAGATTTGACATTCTGGTCCTTTGTGAACCCTAATTACGTAACATATGATCAAAATTGTATCATATATTGTTGCAAATTGTTAAGATAAACACTTTTGCTTCAGTAATGTATAACAAAATATTGAGCATTAGAGAGTTAAAGATAAAAGACTTTTAGCCCTTCTGAGCCCCTAATTTGAGGGGTTAGCCCCATTTTCTTGATATCAAATGAAAGGTCTTGTGATTTTAAAGATTTTTTGTTCAACACTTATTCAGAGATTTCTATTCGTTGTGGAGATATGCTAGACCAAAATATCTAGGGGCCACTCCTACAAGTCCTTAATGGGGCCGTTTTACAAAAATTCAAAGTATGCATATTGTTAAGAACAATTCTGGCCATCTTATGTTCAATATGGCTTATCAAACTATTCCCCTTTTTCGAGGTATAAAGCGTCAATGATTTGACAACCTGGCCTCTTGTGACCCCTAATTAAGCAATATATGCTTAAAAGTTTTTAATATATTGTTCCAAATGGTCTAAAATAGAAAATATCGAAAAATCGATAAAAATTGATTGGTCACACGGGGGATCGACCCCGGGTCGCCCACGTGACAATCCAACGCGCTAACCATTTATACATTGGAATCGCGCTTCGCGTTTTCAAATGCAACTATCTCGAGATCGGCTTTTTCGATTTTCAAACAAATTACATATTTCGGTTCTGCGAAAGGGTCTCTATTCAAATCAAAAACAAAAATGTTAAAAAACAAAAATTGAAAAGTTCGTTTTTTAAATTTGCTTACGGTAGCGACCGGAAGTATTGACGACGCACGAAAAGGTTATTCTGCAACGCCAAAAAACATGAACTATCATCTCCAATTAATCTTCAGTTCATATCTTAAGCAGTTTTTGCTACTAAATCAAGCCAAAATTGCAATTTAAAATCAGAAACTTGTCCATATCTCACGACCAGAAATGACGTCATAAAAATGCTTTAAACCCCACCAAGATCGATTGATAATCTATTACATATAAATTTTCATGTATATCGACCGAGCCGTTTTTGAGAAATTGCGTGCACAAAAATCGGTTGAAAAAAAAATAACAGGGAATAGAAACCGAAGAATAACAAGAAGGTCTTCATTGGAGACAAAAGACCTTAACTAGAAACAATTTCGTTGCGAGCAACGAGTAGGTCTTCCGTCCGATTTTTTTTTTTATAATATCAGATATGATTTTGATTGAGACATTCCTTAATTGATAATAATACGAAGAGTTTTCCGTCTTAGATTAGGATTAGACATCAAAATCTTGAATAGTTGTATCTCTGAAATGAGAAGCAATAAATATAAAGTATTATTGAAATGTAACAAAAACAAATTTATATGAAAAAAGATAATTTAAAGATGTTCTTGAAGAGAAACTGTGCTGAAAACGTATTAAATGAACTCGGTGGTAGTTGCCATATTTAGACCATTTTGATCTCCTTTAAAAGAATATATGAGTTTCATATAAAGATATAGAGAAATTATCAAATTTTTAAACTAAAATGTATGACTTTTTTCTAATCTAAATGATAGCTTTAGTTTCAAGATATCATATCTTAATTAATAAATTATCGTGTTAAGGGTTTCCGTACATTTGAAGCACT